ATATACAATTTGGCAACTCAATTAATATTAAGATTTCGCGCAATGAACATATTTCATCTTGTGTACTCATTTGACCGGAAATATGAAGGTTGGTTCAATAAATCGTAAATATTACCAATTGTTTGGTTAGAAAATAATCTTTATCAAATAAAAAGTAATTAAATTGATAAATTATACTTAAAAGGTAAATATTACTGGTTATTTTCTTATATATAAATCTTTATTGAATTATTTTATTATAAGGAGCGAAAAATTTTATACATAAATTATTTTATAATTTATTTTGATCGTGAGGCCACACACGCGCACACACACACATATATATATATACACACCGTAAATATTACAAAATACTTGGTTACAGAATAAGCTTTATTAAGTTATATATAAATTAAAAATGATTAAATTGTTAAATTATACAAATTGGAAAACTCTTAACAAAAAATTAGCAAAAATGTAACCACGTCCGTAAATTTGATTCTATTTCGTAAATGATTCATAAAAGTCTGTGTGATTCTATTTCGAAAATTTCAAAGAATAGTGCAGAGTAGTAGTAAATTAATGTAAATATTACCCAAAATTCTCAAAACCAGAAGCATATTCGATCTAATTGAGAAGTGAGAAATGCCTATTACATAACAATAACAAAATATAAAATTATAAGTGAAGTTAAATGTTGGAATAACTATACAATCTTTAGAGCTATTAACATATCCATCATTATTTGAATCACATTCTTTCGAAAAATATGCATATGTAGAAAAGTACCATGAATTTGTAGTGTAAAAAGAAAATGTTCTAAAACAACCATATGCATAAACTAAAAGTTTTGAAATACAAACTATTAAAATTAAGATCATAGTACCAAAAAAAAAAAAAAAACTCTTTATCATGGACTACACACTCTATAGAATTTATTGTTTCAGAACCTCTTGCCTCTGGAAGATTAACAACACGGAGCACTCCAACATTGATTCTATTCCAAATGAGTGTAGGATGAAGTTGACTACCAACAATTTCGTTGTGACTTCCTGCTACAACAATTAGACAATTATATTATTATTAAAATAAATATAGAAAAAAATAAAAGAGAAATAATTTAAAAAAATAAATATAGTGTCAACTATTATATAATAATAATGCATATTACATGTAAATTTATAAATTCGTTGTAATTGTCAATGCCTAACATCATTCTAGTTTATCCAGTTATTGTGCGTACCTTCTACAATGTGGGCACACCTCTCCTTAATGCATGTAAATAGTTGCTCAGAACCATTTCAATTGTCTCTATATTTGTATCCTGCAATATTTGCAAAAGATGTAGAAAAGAAATAAGAACAGAAATTAAGAATTATGCCATTGAAAAATGAAAGACACAATACAGAACTCACCCCAGTACAAAAAGGAAGAGTTATAATTTTTCTAGTCACTAATCCATTGTATTTATAGGTAGAGATAGAGAATGTGAGAATAAATTTCTTTTTATATTTTCAATCAATTTGCCTAATTTCTGTTTCCTTTTTTTCATTAGAATCCTTTTATATTTTCAATCAATTAATAATATCAATTTCCTTTTTTCAATTTATATTGACTGGATTTCACAATGGTATATTGGTATTGCATAATATTACCAATTAATAGCTTTTATAACATTTCCATTTTACATTTGCTTACCAAATAAGTTTTATTAATTTGACCAATAAAACATTTCATTAATTTGACTATAAAAGTTTGAGCGGGAAAATTACATAGGAGGATTTTACTTTTATATATATATAGATTACATACTCCATTATGCATGTTCAAATATTGTGTTGTCCCATTCATTAATACAGGTGTGTTTTATATAAATTTCGTTTGGAGTTTTACTACTTGGACTAGTAAAGTTAATTATGTAAAATTTAAAAAAAAAAATTTAAATTGATTGAGCAATTAAGCAATGCATCTCTCTCTCTCTCGCTCTCTCTCTCTCCCTCCCTCCCTCCCTCTCTCTCTCTGGGATTCTTGTAGATGAAATCATGAGATTGATTGCATCCTAAGCACCCAATCAATATAAATTAGTGGTTAAGATTTGTTTTTATTCCTCAATTAAATTAGGACATAATTATATTAATGTATAAGGGTGACACAGTAATTTAGTTTCTTGTTTTAATTGGATTATAATTGTCAAGCAATAATTTCCATAATTATAGGAATTATAAACAAGGTTGCAAAAATCGATAGGCGCCTGGGGACCGTCTAGGGCGCCTAGGGCGCCTAGAGCGCCTAGGCGGGCGCCTAGAGCGATTAATCGGCGCCTAGGGCGCCTAGGTGGTCGGCCGCCTAGCGCCTAGGCGCCGATTAATCGCCGCCTAGGCGCGACTTTTACAACACTGATTATAATCATGGTAGGTCTCCAAAAAAAAACAAAAACATTGATTTCAATCGTAGACAAAAAATGATGGTCGTATCGAAGAACGCAACAGTGAAAGACACAAATTCGGGTGATTTTTTTTTTTTTTTAATTTGTTTCTCCAACTTTTGATACTTGATAGACATAATGTAAACTTCACTAGGCAAAAATATGTCCTTCAAGTTAAAATAGCCATGTCTCAAGACTGGGATTCAGGATCGATTAGCCCAGACACCTTAGAGTTACACAGATAATGTGGCATAGTAGTCTGAACCATTGCGTTTGAGTCATCAAGTAACTATTGGTGACCCCAAATTAATGTGGAGTCCCCGGCCCGTTTCCAAACTTGCTCCTAACAACCTTGCAAATTATCTCATGAGCAGCAATAATACTTCTCCATTCGAAACTTATATTAGGCAGTTACCTAATGTAGCATCGATAAATTAAAAAAAGCTTTAGGAAAATATCTTGTCTTATAAAATCTGGGACGGGACACCAGAGATTGTGGATTTGTGAGGAACCTCCAAGCATGCTTACCTAACATTAAATGCACAAATGTCCTTAAACCCTAATCTACCTACTTTCTTTGGGGCGCATAACTTGTCCCACGTCATCCAGTGTATACCTTTTCCATCAAGTGCAGGTAAGTGTTCCCGTGCAGTTGTGTGGTTGACGCACCTTAAGCACACAACAAAGCACCTTAAGAACACAAATCACGCACCTAAGGTTTTAAAATGGTTCACCTTAAGTTTCACACAACTGACGCACCTTAAGCATACAAATCACAAACCTTAAGAAGGAAAACAACACACCATAAGAAAAAAAATATCACGCACCTTAAGTTTCAACTACTCACATTAAGCAGAAAACCTACGCACTTAAGCACAAAAACCAAACACCTTAAATTTGACTTAGATGCAAAAATTACCAAATTGCTACTGCATTTTTTTTTTTTTTAATTTTGGTAATCCTAAACGTTGATTTAAGCAATATCAATGACTCTCCTTTCACCGCACTGGGCGCACCAACCGATCACATGCTCAAATACAACATTTTATATAAATAAATAAATAATTAATTAATTAAATTTTATTGGCCAGAGACTTTGTGATCGAGGGATATAATTATCATTTCCTTAAATGATTAGAATCCTAGTATATGGTATTGACTTTTTATACTTTAGTAAGTTAAGAAAGTATGTGTAAACAATATAATATTATATTGTGACAGAGAAAAATAAATAAATCTTATTGTATCGGTTGGTGTTCACCTGGCCTGTGTCCACTAGCGTGCCTGCATGAGCTCTCGATCCACAAAATGAGGGTTTTAATTATAATATTAATAAAGTATATCCTCACAATCTAGCCAATATGTAGTGTAGTCCATAAAGAAAAATAATTTATTTGGAAACCAAATCAGAATATTTTGATTTTAGTCCAGCATCCACGTTCACATAATTAATAATTGTTTATATATATATATATATATATATATATATATATATATATATATTTTTTAATGCTACTGACTCTATTACATTATAGTATCTGTTTAAACATAGGGAAAGATCACTATATGCCATCTGAGCACAAAGTTCTTGACAATTATTGTTTACATTTAATCTGAATCTAAATCTAAATCTGATTTGAAAGTTATTTAAAAGTAATGGAATATATGAATAGTACTACATTGTAAATTCTAACAGAGTTAGTAGTACTCAAAAAAAAAAAAGTAACGAATATACTCAGTGAAATATTAACAGGGCGTTTGGTTGGAGGGATTTTAAATTCCCTTCCCACTTAATTCTCACCTAATTCCAAATGCCATTAAATTCCGTAGTTTGGTTGGAGGGAATTGCAATTCCCCCATTTTCGCGATCATGGATTTAAAATCTCATGTCCCCCCTGTGATTTTAATTCCTGGGAAAAAATAATAGTGATGAGTCAAAATTACCTCTTCATTTTTTAACCTAAAATTAATGTCTAACAACAATAATGGACATTTTTGACATTATACTACTTATTCCCTTTCAATTCCCATGTATACCAAACATGGAAATTGAAATTCCCAGTAATTCTATTCCTGTCAACCAAACACTAGAATTTAAATTCTCACTTTATTCTCAGTAATTCAACTCCCATGGAATTACAATTCATTTCCTACATAATTCCCCCCTCCAACCAAACGCCCTGTAAGAGTCTATGTCTTGTTTGAAGAAAGGGTAAAAGAATCATAATTTTAAGTTTATTCCTATCATTTAAGCTCTTTTTTCTTTAAAAAAAAAATTTATTAATCTCCTTTCGAACTCTAAGAAAATATTCACTAATTGCAGTGACTTCGACAGTATTATATTCTTTATTTTGACCGACCTATTTTACGAATAATCCTTAAGACAGTCTAAGATGAGAGTTACTCAAATATTATATATTATATATAGTTTTTGTAGTTGTAACATCAGCATTATCATATCATTATTACATCTCCCTACTCGCTCTATATAAACACAACACAACACAACACAACAAAGCGTCATATATTTGTGTGCACCAAATTAAAGTTGCTACCAATCAACCATACAAATTAAAGAAAGTTTAGACTTTTGATGATGGTGTTGAAAGTGGAATTACTTTCCGAAGAGATGATGATCAAGCCATCATCACCAACTCCACCTCACCTCAAAACCCTCAAACTATCCTTTATTGATCAAACCTCGCCACCCATTTTCCAGAATTACATCTTTTTCTTCAATCATGCTACTGCAGATTCATCACAACTGCTGAAGCAATCTTTATCGAAGGTCTTGACCCTGTTTTATCCCTTAGCTGGACGGATCAAAGGAAACGATTTCATTGATTGTAGTGATGATGGCGCGCTGTGGGTTGAAGCTCGCGTTCATGGCTTCCTCAAAGATGTGGTTGGAAATCCATTAATGGAGGAATTGGAAAAGTTTCTTCCCATAGAGACTCAAAATAATGGTAATAATGATAGTGAGTTATTGCTTGGTGTTCGAGTAAATTATTTTCTTGACGGCGGAATAGCCGTCGCGGTTTGCGTGTCGCACAAGATCGGCGATGGACTCTCTCTGATCAACTTTGTCAATGCATGGGCTGTCACCGCCCGAGAAGGAGACGCCGCCGCCGGGAAAATCCCGCCGCCCAATTTCGGGTTGGTTTCGTCTCTCTTCCCGCCGACGACGATGGACCTGTCCCAGTTTGGATTCTCGCCGACCCTTGGCGTTGCGAGGGAAAAGATCGTCACCCGGCGCGTGGTGTTCGACAAAGAAAAGCTGGCAGCTCTGAAGAAATCTGCGGCGGCCGAGTCGTCGAGAGTGGGAAACCCCACTCGCGTGGAGGCCCTCTCCGCATTCATGTGGAAGCAGTTCAGGTATTGGCCGGAGTTTATCTTTTTTAAAAGAGCAAATACCAATTTTGGTCCCACGAATATTAACAAAATGACAATTTTGGTCCACATGTTAATTCATACAAATTTTCATTCACAACTATTATTTTAGTGTCCACATTCATTACGTCGGTCACCCATTCGTTTAAAAGTAGGCATGCGAAAATATGAAATTATTAAGGGTATTTTCAAAGTATGCGAAAATATGTTTAAAAGTATGCCTACATATATAATAAGTTATGGTTAAGGTATAAATGACTTATATGGACGTTGGTCTTTGATTAGTGTGTAATGGCTCACTTTGATTGGTGTGTAAAAGTCTGCAAATTAAATAATTAAATTGGTAAATTACACTATGAAGATTTTGTGTGGTGGGTTCAATTGAGGGGATATTGGCAAGAACCAAAATCATCACGTACTAGCAATCGTTATAACCTACACCACGGCGCGCGTAGCACTGTGCGCCTCCCAAAACGACGTCGTTTTGGGAGGCGCGGTAGGAAATTGCTGTGATTATGTATATTTGTTCATACAATTATATATATTTGTTCAGACAATTATTATATTTGTTCATACAATTATGTATATTTTTTATACAATTATGTACACTTTTTTTATACAATTATGTACATCTGAATCAGGAAATTTTTGTGTATTATGTTAAGAGTTGATATGTATTATGTTAAAAGTTTATGTTTATTATGTATTATGTTAGATTATGTGTATTATCTTTTAAAAAACAGTATGTATATTTTGTTATACAATTATGTACATTCATGTATACAATTATGTACATTCATGTATAACATTATGTACATTTTTGAACATTAGATTTTTTTTTTAAAGGAGAATTAACTGCCAAATACTGGGGAGCGAAATTTCAAAAAAAAAAAAAAAAAAAATTGAAACGACGTTGTTTTGCATCTGGGCGCACAATGCAACGCGTGCCGTGGTGCAGGATATAAATTGTCACGTACTAGCTCGACTAAAAGGATGTTGACAAGAATCAAACTCATTTATCTTTTAAGTACAAAAATCGTATTCCACCCTCTCGACCACCATTTCAAAAATACTTCCACTATTTTGAATGAATTTTAATAATAATAATAATAATAATAGTAATATTGGGACAATTATTTTAAATGCACATATATAGATTATTATGTGGTCTGTTTTAGTCAAAATGGAATTGAATATAGGCGTCACATTCACTATCTCTTTCGATGTGTTCCATCATCAAAGCCTACATGATGACGAGCCCGCGATTTTCTGTATTTGTTTGTTATGCTATCAATCGATATACTTTGGCGTTGATTTAACTTGTCTAGTAATAATTATACGATTTAGATGGCTATCCTAGTTCATGTGACTTTATCAACTTAAATGCGATGAACAAAATATGTAATGTGGATGTTTAATTTGAACTCAATGGATGTTATGAACGAGTATTTGGTATTATTGAAAGAATACGCATTGTCCAAATCTAATATGGTCCTTTAGGCGGCCATGATGCCTGTCATCAGCAAATGTGATGCTTTCCTATATCGTTCGAGAGGTAAGGTGCTAGATTTGACCTTTCAGACCTCTGTCTGATCCAATAATCTCTCTAACCATCTGATGTTGGACTTGGTCCTTCATTAGCTTTCGCCTAACAGAAGCTAGCAACTAAAGGTGATGTAGATGGCAAATTAAAGAAGAATGTAATTAATTAAGAACTCAGGTACCCGGGACTTCCATTTGGAAGATTATGAGTTCAAGCCTTAGTGGAGGCGTTATTGGTTCTTTGTGTTTCAGTAGGTTGAGAAAGTATATGAACAGATACTACAATGTAATAGAACCAGTAGCTTTAAAAAAAAAAAAAAATAAGAACTCAGGTAGCTAGTAAATTGGAAGTGATGACTCTTAATCGAATCTTGATAATTGTAATGTTGGAGTTTTACCTAATGTGGTAGGCTCTTTGTAAGTATAAGACACTGGTCCTCTTATCTAAGAAGTCGTTGATCGAATTATCATAATTTACCCTTTCATTGGGATGTGTGAGCTCTGAGCTGAGGGATGTTGTCTTTTGAGGGTGAGAAGGTAATTAAGAAGCAATATATAAATACTATGGGCACACATGTTTGTAGCAGTGGAAACAGACAAAGAATGGGATTGTGGTGTATAAGCCCATCATACTTAACATGGCTAAAGAAAATGGGATGTTTGCCATTCTCAAAACAAGCCATTTTCTAACTCTCTGATGCTCTTAGCTTTAACAATTTACAAGACTTGATGTTGACATCTGCACGTATTGGCACTTGCATGTTAATTTATTGAGTTAGAGACATTAAAATTCTTAATTGATCTGAGTAAGTCTTGTGTAAATGTTTTATGTGAGATATGTAATATTTTCTGTAACTAGCATTGTTGTAAAAATGGGCCTAGGCGGCTACCTAGGGGTTAGGCACCCCTAGGTCGAGACGATTTCAGCTCTAGACGGCTTTAAGTCGATCGACCGACTAGGCAACCTAGACGCTGAGTTGAGTGTCTAACTCGGCCGAGTTGAGCGCATAACTCGACCAAGTCGGTGTCCAACTCAGCCGAGTTAGCGCTCAACTTGGGCGAGTAGTATTTTTTTTTTTTTTATCTGCCCGGCTACTCCTCCTCTATATTTCTCTAAGCATGTAATCGTAATCAACTAACTATCTAACATATGCATTTGACTAGTTTGAAGATTATAATAATAGTCTAACAACTCTTAACCCTGAGTGGGAAAAGTGAAGACAATATACTCGAATTACACAGCCACCTAGGCGCTAGACGCCCCTCAAACGCCCAACTAACGCCTAGTGCCTTTTGCAACATTGACCACTTGTTGCATTTTTAATTTTTTTTCAAAAAGCACTTGCTACCCACTTATCAAAACATAAAAGTTGTACTTTTTTTTTTCCTTGACTTCATAGGATGACACCAAAATTACATCTGGTGAAATTTCATAATGGTAACGTACTTCAAATATTTGACCAGATAGGCATTGATATTGGTAAGAATCATACGTTAAAGAACAGTGGCAGTATCAGTAGTAGTACATACTGTCGTCTTCTCACGCCGAACACAAATTATATTGCAGAAAGGCGGACCAGATCAGAGCTTTAAAGCAAATAATATGGTGAAGCTTATCCGCCACGTCTTTTATTTGAAGATTATTTAGCATGATTCATGAACCAACCATGAATACCTGCTACGTTGAACAAACAGAGAAACATATACTTGTTGGCATGAGAGGGACAATTCAGGCATAAACTGATAAAAGTCCCTTTATTATTATCTTGGTAATACTACAAATACGTACTCCATCATCTGAAAAAATACCATATTTTGAGTGGTTATTTTGTGATACAAATATCAATATATAATATATACTTTTAATTTGCGTTGGGTCAAATTGAGTTCAGGTCTTCGAAGTGAGACAAAGGAATAATATATTGATCGCTTAAAACGGATAATGAGTGAATGAGAAATTAAATCTCATAGTACACTTATTTGACTTGAAAAATGAATGTAGAAAACTTTGGAAGTAGCTTTTGTACCATTGATTTGGGGTGGATTTGCACTAGTATATATATAATATTTTTCAAAAAAAGTTGAGTTTTATTACTTGTATAGTTTGGAGATTTTCTCTCAGGTAGAAGTAATTTTTACTTTTTTGATCATCTCAAGTTGATATTTTTGTAATATTATTTCTTTACATCATCTACTATATATATATATATATATATATATATATATATATATATATATATGTGGTACGTTATGAATAGTTGATTTATCTAAAATTGATCTTTTTTTTAATGAATATTGTGAGGATGAAATACATACTTATCGCTATGCTAATGTTGAAACTTGTTATACTTGCATAACATCTAACATCATGCCTTAATACACATACAAGATGTTAATTAAACCTAATCCTAGCTTCAAGCTTATGCTTATTAGTTATATATTAAACAAAAAACATGGAAAGAAAACTCGAAGAAAATCTTCTTTACTTGACTAGTGTCTAACTGTCTTCAATGTGTGATTGCGGATAACCCTATCTCATTTACTTCATTGTATTGTTTATCACAAGATCACTAAACGATTTATGTATTTAATTCATTCCCTTTAATTTCCTAAACATATGAAATTATGAATTGCCCCATTCGAATTCACCATTCATTTATCAATTGTCTATAGTGCAACTGCACTATAAGGAGAGATTCCCATTCAAACTCCACTCCCCCTATCGTGCATAGAGCTGTATGTAAAAAAGGTCAATCGTTATGCTGTGGAACTGCAAGGTGGACATAGTTCTATATTCATAATTAATGAACTATATGTTTATAATTATAAAACTATATATTCATAATTTTTGAACTTCATATTCATAATTATTGCATTCTATATTCACAATTACAGAACTCTATATTCATAATTACTGAACTATATGTTCATAATTATAAAGTTATATATTTACAATTATTGAATCTCTATATCATAATTACATAACTATATCTTCATAATTATGTTCACAACTCTATGTTCATAATTATAGAATTATATGTTCATAATTTTTGAATTATATATTCACATATAATTATGGACATGGTTATGAACAATTTTAGAACCGTGTCCACATTTTCACAGCATAATTTGTGAAAAAGGTGATTTGGGCTTTGAATTTTATGACATGTCAAATTGGCGGGCTTTTTAACTCCCAGCATAATGACAAGTTTTGACGGGCCATCCCGATAAATCACTTTAATGGATTTAATCATACATGACTTTTACCAATACTTATAAATTAAAGAGAAAATTGTAATTTTAGTCCCTCAATTGGTTATTGTTAGTAATTTTAGTCCCTAACCTTTTTCATGTCAATATACACCCTTAATTATTCAAAAAAGTCGCATTTTAACCCCTAGAACAACAAAATTATTAAACTCTGTTAAAATTTTATTTAGTAC